GTGTCTCCCGTGTGGGTGCCGAGGTTTTCAGAGTCTGCTGAGCGGCTCACAAACCTTTCCACGTGACTCTGGAAACAACTCCCACGTGTTGAGAGAGGAGCTTGAGGCCTCCACAGGTAAACCTCCCCAGCCTCCATCGTGTAAGCAGCAGGGGGAGTCGGACCCTGGTCTTCATCTGCTCTTGTGGAGGCCCAGCCGGGCCTCTGATCTGTATGATACAGAGCAGTTCTGAGCTGAGCTTCTACCCAGGTCATTCTTGCTTCTCATACTAAAAATACCAGGCGTGGTGAATCGCAAACCGACTTCAAATACCTCCCCTGAGTAGTTAGATGCAGCGGCTATGGATGCGTCCTGCACCATTTGTTTATGCGTGAATACTGTCATAAAGGCACAGTTCATGTTTGACTGTGCTAAGGACAGGTGGGCTCGGCCGCACTGCCGACTGCCCCACGGCGCCCGTCAGAGACCCGCCCCACGCGAGGGAAAGGCGGCTGACCGCAGTCAGAGGATTCAGTGACCCCCCTTCCTACCTGCCAGCTGAGTTCGTCTGCATGGAAAGCACAAAAATGGGTTTTATTGGCAGCATGAGTTTTAAAATTAGCTTTGGCTCAGCTCAGTGGAGGGGTGCAGGGGGGAGCATTCCCGCTCCCGGAGGCGATCTGCAGGGAGGACACCCCAGCAGGGGTGGGGGGTGGGGAGGGGCGGGGGGTCCACAGCTCCGTGTCTGCCAGGCGCCCACCCCATGGGCAGGCGCGTACCAACCTCTCCCTTCACGTCTGCTGTGTCTGATACGCTGTGGTTTAGGACTCGAGATAAAGACCCCTTTTTTTGTTTTGTTTTTTGGAATTTTGCACAAAATAAGGACAGGGTGTGAGCAAACAAACAAGAGAGAGATACGTTTTAACTGTAGCGTTTGATAGGTAGGAAGCAATATGTGTACCATATGGGAAAAGTTGAGACTTTAATATCTACACGCTTACGTCAAGCTTATAAATCACCAACGTAATAACATTTGTCCCTTCGCCCCCCAAATTTCATTCCTAAATTCCTGTCCGGAGCTAGTCAGTCTTTTGTGCTATGTTGTTGTTTCTTTAATAGCACTGCTGCTTCTCTAAGGACTAACTGGTAGGTTTCCTAATACTATAGGTTTTGAACTCTATCAGATGTGGGATGCCATGTTATTTACATGCTTTCCCTATCTTGTCTTTCTTTCCAGATCCCTCCATGCTGTTTTGTGCAGCTGCGATCCATTATTAATCTATTCTTTTATAACATCCCACCAAAATTATTGCAAAACAGATTTACCCCATACTTAATGCATCATTTTAGGTTCTTTTGCTATTATGAACAGTAAATATTGTTCTGAACAGCACGTATTTCTTCTAAAATAATCTTCATTTTCAAATAATTTATACAGTGATAAAGTCTGGGCTGCGGTTTGGTAGATATGCAACAATAATTCTTCTAAACCATGAATATGGTAAATGAGTCAAGACTTCAAATATCTTCCAATTAAATTCCACACTTTCTTTCCCACAGGGACCAGAGACTTCTCTGTCCTGTGTGTAGGAAGAGAAAGCAGCTCTATTACCATGAAGTCATATTTTTCCTTTAGGGGTAAGATCATGGGATAGTTCAATTTCTTCTTTCCCTAGATGGATCCCTTTTTTGTCCTTTCCTGGCCTTACTGCTCTGGCTAGAATTCCAGGACTAAACTGAAGAGGGTCGGAGAGAGTGGCCATCCTTGCCCTGTTCCTGATTTCCGGGGAGATGGGTGGAGTTTTTCTCCATTCAGTGGGATGTTGGCTGTTGGTCTGTCGATGATAGGCTTTGTTTTTAAAAGGAATGTTCCTTCTATCCCTAGCTTCTCCAAAGCTTTTAACATGAGCAGATGTTGTATTTTGTTGGAGGTTTTTTCCTGCGTCTATTGAGATGATCACGTGGGTCTTGTCTTTGGCTCTGTTGAGGTGGTGAATTACATTGATTGATCTGCATATGTTCAGCCAGCCTTGCATCTGTGGGATGAAGCCTACTTGGTCATAATGTATGATTTATTTTGTTGTTTCTGGATTCTGCGGGCTCGTATTTTATTGAAGAGCTCTTTGCATCTGTGTAATCAGAGGAACCGGTCTGTGTTCCTCTCTCTCTCTCTCTCTCTCTCTCTCTCTCTTTTGTTGGATCCTGACCTGGTTCGGGGCTGGGTGTGATGCTGACTTCGCAGGAGGAGTCTGGGATCTCTCCCTCTGCGTCCGTGTCACTGAAACGCTCGAGGAACGTTTGCGTTCACTCATTCAGGGGTGAATCCCTCCGTGCCTGGGCTTTTCCTTGCTGGAACACTTCTGATTATTCCCTCTCCCTCGCTGCATGGTGTTGGCTTGTTTAACATCTTTCTTATCTTCTTGGTTCAGCTCAGGCAGTTTGTATGTCTCTGTAATCCTCGGGATTTCTTGGGGTCAGTTGTCGTGTTTCCTGTGGCTTTTCTTCATTTGAATCGCATCTTCTTTCCTTCGTCAGGTCAGTCCCGATAGTGGTCTCTCAATTTATGGCTTCTTCAGACTCTTCCATTGTTTTCTGCCAGATCTTCGCTCTCTCTCTGCCGCGTAGATGGGGGTTTGGTCTGTTCTTGCTTTTCTGGCAGTTTTAGTTGCGTCCTGAGGTTATTGACTGGAGCTGTCTCTGTTTTCTGTGTGTGTGTGTGTGCGCGCTCAGAGCTCGAGCCTTCCCTCCCAGCCCCAGAGCGTCTGCCGTGATGCGTTTTCGTCTTTGCTTCGTTGTGAGCGTTTCCTGATTTCTTCCTCCTCCTCTTCTGCGCCCGGTCTCCATGTGTGGAGCGTTCCTGCTGCTTCGCCGCCATCTTTATCGAGGACCTCCCCAGATTCGATTATTAATATTAATCAATACTGACTTCATTACCGCCTGAAGCGAGTGAACGCTGAGTGAGCCCGGCCCTCGCTCAGCCGCTCTGCTCGCTCCGCTCCATGCGGCAGCACATGGACTTTCACCTCAAGCTTCAGTTTCTGAGGAAACCAAAGAGGCTTTGGGAGACACTGCAGCCGAGAACCTCCACTACAGGGCAGACCGCAGGAAAACTCTGCGCGGCAGAGTCGTTCACGTGTGCGCCGTTGGACGTGTTAAACGGCCGGCCAGACGCCTGGCAGCCAACGCAGCCCCTGAAGGGCTCGTTCTCAGCAGAACCATTCGCTCCTCTGTGGAAGCTGTTTTAAATGAGTTTATCGTCGGATGTTGTGACAAAGCAATCTAACAAAATTCAAGGTTATAGGGTATTCAGAATACACACCGGCGGGGCACGGGGGGCATCGGCAATGTTACACAATCATCCTCACTATATTGTTTCCATGCCCCACAGGAAATCTGGTGCTCATGACAGCCCCGTGGTGCCCCGGGCTCGCCCCCTCCACAGCGACCCATACCACCTCGTGTCCTGTGCTTCTGGGCTCCATCTGACCCTTCACCCGACTCCCACAGTTCCCCGCCCTGCTCTGTGGGGTTGGACGCATCTCGGGAAGCACGGGGGGGCGCAGGGGTGTCCAATCAGCCATCCTGGGGCCCAGGCCCGGGGTCCCGAGACGCCCAAGGTTCTGGACAGCAGGAGTCCGGTGACCCCGGGGGCCCGTGGGACTCCATGTTCCACAGTGGGCGTGGTAGACAGACTGGAAACACAGCACTCTCCAGCACCTTCTAGAAAACCTGTCAGGTCACGGGCCTTCCTGTGGGTTTCATTATTCTTTTCGGGAGTCTGTGACCAGCCAGTCTATGTCAGCTATACTTTATACGGCCGACTCGGTGTGGCATTGATTCTCCCCCATGTCTACAAGATATTTCGGTGGAAATCTGGTTCTTCGTATAAATTGCTCCCTCCTGCAGAATTATGGTTGCGGTTTAAGTATTCTCAGGGGTGGAATCAACTGAGCCAAACTGAACGAACATATTGTCTTTCACTATATATTGTTAGTTTCAAAGCAAACTGCTGTGTTCAATTACTGCACTTGCACCACATCATAGACGCTTTGGACGTTTTTAAGCAAAATCGTTTCACCCACTAATGAAGACTACAATAGCGTCCTGAAAAAACTTTGTTTTTAAATTTCATTTATAATTGAAAGCAGGGCGGGGGTCTATAATTTTTGCATATACAGATTATTTGTTTTATTGAAAGTGACTCCAGCAACTGCAGCCTAAGTTGAGAATAATAATTGATACGCATTTCTCAAAAATGCAAGTTAGCGTTCGTTTGTTGGGTCATACACAGATACCTTCCCACGCACACTGCGTTCATGCCAGAGCGCGAACGTGGGGCCTCCAGCTTTTGCTGAGCTTTTTTTGCTCACGGATGGCTCTTTGCCACTTGAGCCACAGCTCCCGTTCTGGCATGGCATTTTGCTGGTTAATTGGCGCTGAAAGCCTGGTGGGTTCGTGTGCCCAGTTGGCTTTGCCCCACAGCCCTCAGATCTCAGCGTTGGAGGGGCGAGGGCCGCGGTTCGCTCACCGCGGTGCTCACCCTCGCTTCCCGCCTCCAGCCCCACAGGTCCCATTCGCTCACTCTTTCTTCGTCAGGCTGCGTGTTCGACTCCACTGCCGGCTGCCACGCTCTCATAAGATGCTCACACACAGATGTGCTCCATATCCCCTGGCCGCCTGTTTCATAACCCAGTTCCTAAGTCCTAGGCTGAGACTCAATTATTTTCTTTCCCCATAATCACAGGTGCTGGGTCGGAGCCCGGTCCTGTTGACCAGGGTCATGGGGCGCACAGAGCCTCTCCCCGGTGAAGGCGACCCCAGAGAGGCTGGTGCGTTCTGCCAGGCTTGTGGGCAGCGTCCCCGAGGGCTGACGCGCGGCCTTCTCCCTGGACACCCGCACCCTGGGCCTGGGCACGGCCTCCCGCCGGCCCTCAGGTGACCAGGTGACCAGGTGGGGCCGCCTCCCCAATGTCTGTCTTAGAGCAACAAGAGCCGCCCTGCAGAGAGAACCTGGCGCAGCGTGGAGGGAGGGGTCTGGTCTTCTCCACTGACAGCTGCCTTTCTTCTGTCTTCAGGGGAGTCCAGGAGGAGCCCGAGCACCACGCCTGCAGCACCAGGCCCTGGAGGGCTGAGCACCGCCGCAGGTGAGGGACACAGGGCCCCCCTCCTCAATTCCCCAGCCACTGTCGCCCTCCACCGCCGCTTCCTGTCCACACCACTCCTCCTTCCCCTACTCCTTCCTGTCCACGCCTCCCTCCCTCCCCCACTCCTTCCTGTCCACCCCTCCATCCCTTCCTGTCAAAACATCCCTACCCCTCTTTCCTGTCCACACCACCCTCTCCCAACCCTTCCTCTCCACTCCTTCCTGTCCACACCACACCTCCCCCCCCAACCCCTTCCGGTCCACACCAAACCTACCTCACCTACTCCTTCCGGTCCACACTTCCCTCCCTCCCTCCTCCACCCCTTCCTGTCCACGTCTCCCTCCCTACCCCTTTCCTGTCCACACGTCCCTCCCCCACTCCTTCCTGTCCACACCTCCATCACCCACCCCTTCCTGTCCATACCACACGTCCCTCCCCCACGCCTCCCTCCCTCACCTACTCCTTCCTGTCCACATCTCCCTCCCTACCCCTTTCCTGTCCACCACTTCCTGTCCACGCCTCACTCCTTCCTGTCCATACCACACCTCCTTCCCCCACTCCTTCCTGTCAAAACCTCCCTACCCCACTCTTTCCTGTCCACGCCTCCCTCCCTTACCCACCCCTTCCTGTCCACACCTCCATCACCCACCCCTTCCTGTCCATACCACACGTCCCTCCCCCACGCCTCCCTCCCTCACCTACTCCTTCCTGTCCACATCTCCCTCCCTACCCCTTTCCTGTCCACCACTTCCTGTCCACGCCTCACTCCTTCCTGTCCATACCACACCTCCCCTCCCCCACCCCTTCCTGTCAAAACCTCCCTACCCCACTCTTTCCTGTCCACGACTCCCTCCTTCCCCTACTCCTTGCTGTCCACACCACACCTCCCTCCCCCACTCCTTCCTGTCCACACCATACCTCCATCCCTGTCTACACCACACCTCCCTCCCCCTCCTCTTCTTGTCCACAACTCCCTCCCCCAACCCTTCCTGTCCACGCCTCCCTCCCTCCCCCACTCCTTCCGGCCCAGAAGAATTCTCACTGTCAGTGGAAGCCGCCGTCTGCTCTCCCAGGGGGCCAGCTGCTTCTTGCCAATTCAAGGAAGAAGCACCTTGCTTGACTTTTGCTCATGGTTCCAGAGGCTTCCATCTGTGCTCACCTCACTGTACAGTGTTAGGCAGACACGTCTTGGTGGAGAGAATGACGAAGGAAGGCTGTTGAAAGATTAAAAATTGACCATTACCATTACTAACTTGCTAACTGCTGATTCTGCTTCTGTAAACTTGCTTACACTAGCATTGACCCTTCCCTTCCCAGAAATGAGTTAAGAAGTTTCAGGGACCAGATGCTGGCCCCAGGACAAGGTCAGGGTCGTAGATAAAGAACGGACAGTACGTGTTCCTCAGTTCCCATTTAGAAATTCCCCAGACAGGACCTTGAGATAACGACCACCTGGCAAGACCACAAGCTAAGCCAAATGTCAACCAATCACAAGTCTGTAACTATGTGAACTCCCCTAACCCTTATTGTCCAAAGTAACCACCCCCTTGAGTCCCCCACACCAATCATTTTACAAAGAGTGTTACAAAATTTCCCGCGTGGCAAAGTGATTGTTGGCGTATATGGTGACCTTTAAATGGACCAATCATGGGATGCGTTAATCTTGTGGTTTTTGCCTTTAAAAGAAGGCTTGTAGCCACTGCTCGGGGCTCCCTGTCTGCTCGGGACAGAGAGTCCGTTTGCGCAAACGCTGAATAAACTCCTCTCGCCTATTGCATCTCCCGGCCTGGAGTCTGAGCTTTCTGGGGCGCCCTCCCGTTGACGAAGAAAGTATCCCAGGAGTCTGGGGTCGTTCAGCTGTGAGCTCATGGTGGCTAGGAGGGAGAGGGATTGTGTGTGGGCATCTCAACGGGGCCCTGAGACCATCCCCATGACCGGAACGGGCTGGGTGGAACGGTCAGCCAGGCTCAGACCCAGTCAGCCTGGACTTCCTGCCACCATGATGTGTGGGAAGTCAGTGGGGCATGGGGCAGGGCGGAGGCTGGAGGGGGAGGAGGGAGGGCGGGGAAGGAGGCTAGGAGGAAGAGGCCGGGGGAGGCCGGGGAGGAGGCAGCTCTGCACACAGCTATGCAGGGAAAGGCACCTTCGGAACCGAGAGCTGGCGTCCGCCACACCTCATTTTTACGAACGCTGACAGGTGACTGTGGCTGCTGTCCTGGGATCCCAGCTCAGCCCGCCCGCTCCTCGGGGACCCGAGATCCCCCCCCCCGCCATGGCTGAGAAGCCTCCTGAGACACAGATCCCCCAGACCCGGCTTTCCTGCCCGTCTCCTGCGTGGTGAAGCCGCGCCTGCCCAGATCCATCCTTTAAACACTACGCACAGCCCTGAAACTGTTACACGCGGCTCGTGCTGGCGGAGGCGTCTCCGGAAGACAAAAGGGGAATGGGAGCAGAAGCCATGACCAAAGCTCAACCAAGAAAGGGGAAGCAGCCGAGCGCACCCCGGAAAACGGGAGATGGCGTGAGGCCGCTGACTGTGATCCCCTCAGCCCAGATCCCGGGCCTCGTCCACCTCCAGGGGCCTCGACCCCCTCCAGGGGCCTCGTCCACCTCCAGGGGCCTCGTCCACCTCCAGGGGCCTCGACCACCTCCAGGGGCCTCGACCACCTCCAGGGGCCTCGACCACCTCCAGTCAGAGCTGCTGCGAGAGGCCGCATGTCACTGACACACGCCGTGAGCACGCGTCCGTGTTTCCTCTCACATATAAGTGTTTTTCTTTGGTGTCCTTGACAGCAGGACGGCACAAATCCTTCCCCACCCCCCAAACCCAAGCACCCAGGGATCCCAGAACCTGGAAAGCACGCACCGCCCCCCACCTCCACCCCCACCTGGCCCTGAAGCCGCGCAGGATTGCAAGCTGCATAAGGCAAGAGCATCGTCCGCTCCTGACGGAGACTGAATGGTGCGCAAAGGCTGCAGGTGCCTCAGCCCGGCTGCTCGGGAGGCTGAGATCTGAGGATCGCGGTTCAAAGCCAGCCCGGGCCGGAGAGTCCATGAGACTCTGACCTGCAATAAACCACTAGAAAACCGGAAGTGGCGCTGTGGCTCAAGAGGTAGAGCCCTGGCCTTGAGCTGAAGAGCTGAGGGACAGCGCCCAGGCTCAGCATTCAAGACCCATGACCGTCAAAAAAAAAAAAGAATTCAACATCTGTAAAGTTTCCTTCCGGTCTGAGTCTGCAGCTTCCTTTAACTGGGGACTCGTTTCCTTCCTACCTGAATGTCCGTCATCTCTAGTTCAATACTCGTCAGCCCTGCGTGGCCACAGGTCTATCCAGCCACTGATATTTATTCACGACACTCAAGTGGTTTCTAGCTCTCTGAGGGCCGGAATGTGCACCACGATTTTCATCCACAGAGAATTAGGAAGGAAGGCCGGGATTCGTGCGGGGTGCGTTCCACGGGCTCCGTGGTGTGTCAGAGTCCGTGTGACTCGTACCTTTCTCCGCAAGTCCAACAACATTAGTTTTCGTGAACATCTGGCTGGCATCTGCCTCACGCACTATTAACCAGGGTATCCCCGGGGAGACGGGTCATGATCCTGTGAGTGGGGTGTGCGTATGCGTCCAGAGGCTGAGCCCCCCTCCTCGGAGCGGCTGACAAAATGCGCCTCCTTCCCCGCCCTGCCCTTCCCGTGTGGGATCTCCACTGCCAGCTGCCAGCCTTCCTGTGAGCTGCCTGCCCCCTCCCCTCCCTGCTCCTCCCTCCTCCCCTCCCCTGCCACAGTCTCCGAGTCCCTCTGTCTCCAAGTGTGTGTGTGTGTGTGTGTGTGTGTGTGTGTGTGTGTGTTCAACCTTATTGTCCCATTTGAAGACCGGGGAAACAGATCCATGAAAATGCAGGTTAGATGCAAGGAAGGCGAATTCAAGCTGACGAAGGCTAATTAAAGCAGGAAGACTGCGTGTCAGACTCGCGCCCAGGCAAGAGGCCAGGCCCTGTCCTCCATAACGGAGCAAAAAGGGAGGGCTTAGCGCCGGGGGGCCGCCTGGCAGGGAGCCCTGGGCTTAAACCCTGGTGTGAGGGATTGGAGTACCCAGATATACAGGTAACGTACAGACACACAAATCGACGTATCAATGAGTACTTATGTGTCTATAGCTACACACACACACACACACACACACACACACACACACACGCAATGCCCCAACCATGAACCAGTGAAATCACTGCCTGCTTCTGACTCCACGAGAAAATACTAGAAGAAAACAGGCAGCCAGGATTTCACCGCCCAGCTCTGCGTCCTTGCTCGCCGTTGGCCGGTGCAGGGGCGGGTTCCCGGGGGGCGGGGGGCGGGGGGGGCCGGCCGGGTCCGCCTGGAGCTCCTGGACAGCCGTAAACTCCCTATTTTATGGGATCCCGCGGGTGAGAGAAACGCGCACCTGCTGGGCTGTCCCTAAGCCACGTTTTCTAAGGTTAAATGTGTACCAGACGGGCAGAGGGGTCCCTGGGAGAGGAATGTGCTCAGACACGCACGCAGCTACCCCCAGCCCCGCCCCGCCCCGCCCCGCCATCTCGGGAGAACCGGGGGAAAGCTGGCGCCGGGTCCTCCTCACCGAGACCAAGCCCACCTGACTCCCGCGCTCTTGTTCACGATGCTCAATAAAGCACGCCGCGCATTTATGGAAAATACGAGACAGATGTACGCAGGGTTTCGGGACTGGGGCCTGGTTAACGGGTGCAGACGACAGCAGCAGTGGTGCTCTGGGTGAGAATCTTTCCAGAACTGACTCCTCATGAAGCCTGCTTCCTCCAGGAAACGCTCCTCAACCCCAGCACGTTGTTTTCTCCTAGATAACTGTCTATTCATAAGTACAACCACAGCCATGAGACATAGCGATCCTGTGTTAACTTCAGAGAGGTGGAGGTTCGACTCATCTGTGTGCGTGAAGGAGGGCGCTACATTTCACAGGAACGCACTACGTGTTGTTCAAAGTCCTCCGTTTGCCCTCAGCACTGAACTCAGGGACTTGGACAGAGTTTCCTGGCACCTCGAGACTGTTGATCGAGTGTGGGATGCTTACCTAGCAAGCGCAGGCGCGTGCACACACAGACACTTCCACGGGAAACTCTGTAAAGGGTTTTCACAGCAACCGGTCACCTTAGAAAGCCAAATGTCTGCACTGAGCAAGCGTGCGGGCGTGGGGAGCCTAACTTGTCCCCTGCAGTTCAATCACTCAGGGATGCCAGTCCTGCACACTGATTTCCCTCCCCTCTCTCATGAGTTAAGCAGAGTGGGCCCAGCCCCGCACTCTGTGGAACCAGAAGAAAAATGCACAGGGGCATCCGCCCCGGAAGCCATTCGCTAGCTTGCTCAAAAGGCTTCTGTAATTTAGGAAGAGAGAGACAGAGAGACAGAGAGTGTGCCACCTGGAAGATCATGTTTCCCAGGAACCAAGGGATGGTGGCGCTGTGGATGGCGGCAGCAGCCGAACCCGAGCCGTCTGTAATGTTAAACACCGCACCTGGCACCTCCCCGGCGACCGTGTGCCCCATGGACGCAGCAGGTCATAAATATCTCTTATTATGACCAAGCCAGGCACCTGTGGGCTCCGAGCCAATGCGTATAAATCTAGGGCTCGTGTTAGCCGGCTGTCCGAAGTATGTGTAAAGAAGCCGGTGTTTCAGGTTAGGAAACACCATGCACTCAGGATGAAGCAGAAATGCTGGTGCGGCTGGCTGTGGTGGTGGTGGTGGGGGCCACAGACAGGTGCTCCTGGCCCAGGCCCATTGCTGTGTGTGTGTGTGCGTGTGTGTGTGTGTGTGTGTGTGCGTGTGTATGTGTGTGTATGGCTCCCCTCCCACTCTCAAATTGGTCCTTGGGCCAAGTCCAAAGATGAATTATACTGTCTCCCTAGTGTTAACACACTCACCCTTCCAAGGCTACAAGAACGTGTGACAGAGAACTGAACAGCTCCCACTGCCAATGGTTGTAAAGTAGCAATTTCAAGACGGCTAGGTTTCCCCGGGAACGCTGCTGCTCTGGAAGCCCCTGTGGTATCGGCAACTGGTGCCAAGCAGATAAGAAAGAGTTTATCAATCAGGAGACGCAGGCTGGCATTCTGGTGTGCGTATGTGTGTGCGGGTCATGTGCCATGACACACATGCATAGCGTACGTAGGTGTGCAATGCGTATGGAGAATGTACAAGTGTGTGC